TTAATAATAGTTATAAAACCTGTTATTATTCTGACCATTTTGAAATAGGTTTGTCACATTCATAAAAAAACCTAGAGGTCAAATAACAGAACTATTTATTTTAACCAGACTTGTATTGTGTGTTTTCAGCTAATCTATACATTATCTTTCTTGGTATTCATGATTCCATAGCTGGTAAATGTAGGAACTAAGTAGAACCCACAATTTCTGATTCTAAACTCTATTTTCTATTCATTATACCACTGCTGTTTAATTAACAAAACAAAAAAAAAAAGTTAACATAGAATTAAGTCACATTCCTTTGGGAATTTTTCTAAGTACTTTTGATTTTTTTGATTTTCTAAGTACTTTTAATTTTCCATAATTACGGAATAGCTGGTTCTGGAAATGGATTTTAATATTTATAAGTGTTCAGTGAGGGGTACGTGGGTGGCTCAGTTGATTAAGTGTCCGACTTCAGCTCAGGTCATGATCTCGCGGTCCATGAGTTTGAACCCTGCGTCGGGCTCTGTGTTGACAGCTGAGATCTTGGAACCTGCTTCAGATTCTGTGTCTCCCTCTCTCTCTCTGGCCTCCTCCACTTATACTCTCTCTGTCTGTGTGTTTCAAAAATGAATAAATGTTAAAAAAATAATTAAAAACATAAAAGTGTTCAGTGAATATCTTCATTAAAATGATGGCTTTTAATGTAAACACAACCTCTTACCTATTTCGTATGAAAATTTATAAAACTTATCTGATTTAAAGACAAATCCTGCCTTAATGTTTGTAGAGTAAAAGATTCAACATTTTTTTGATTGAAACACATTACGTGTTTAGCTAAATAGGTGGAATTATTTTAATCTGTTTGAAAACCATTTACCAAACTATAAAAAGTGCTTATATTTTTTGACTCGCTAATGCCATTTCTGCAGATGTAACTTTAGAAAATGATTTTTAAATGTCTATATTCATAAATATATCCCTTGCAATGTTATCTGTAATATGAGAATATTGGAAATAATCTAGATGATCTCTGCTAGAGCTCCCTGTATTCTGCACATCTGTTTGATGGGATTCAATGCAGCCATCAAAAATGATCACTCTAGACACTATATTTTAGTAAAATTTAAAAAATGCTTACATGCACTGTTGAACAAAAACAGGTCACCAAGTAGTAGCTATACCATAATTATAACTATTTGAAAAATGTGTGCATGCAGAAGACTGGATTGGAAAAGCAAAAAGAACCACAATGTTGTTAAGGATTTTCAAACTTAATTTTACCTGTTATGTTTTAAATTCTCCATATGGTAAATCCTACAATTTCTTATCCTGATTTGAATTCCGAGATCAAGTTTATTGAAGCTTGTCCGCCAGGTATAATTTGCTAATATGAAACCACACCTAAGATATTTCTTTTGAAGATCAGTATAGTCTAAAGTTTTCTTGAGTTCCTCAGAGAAACCAGGCCAAACTCAAATTCAGCAGTCCAGGGATGGATCCTGTTTTATTGGTGATGATTATTAGAGAAAAAGGTGTTTTCAAAGCGTTGGGAAGTTTGTTCTGTTCAGGTAGGTACCAATGATATAGACACACATCCAGCATTTGGCAAACCCCTCTGGCCCCTCTGGTATACAGCTCTTAGCAGTACAAGTTTTCACAGGAGATTTTCCATCGTTTTTCTTTATTTTTTCAAGGGCAAAAATAATGGGAGAACAGCTATCTCAGTATATTTCTTCTGTTCCATTTCTCATGTCAGGAGCACTTTAAGTGAGAAAAAAATAAAAGCAAGTAAAAAAATGCATATCGTACAAAAGCAGTTGACTACATTCTTTGAAACTTTGAAAAGGCTAGTTTTAGGACAAATTCTAAGTGGAACACTAACTATCAATTCTTCTTAGATAGACTTAAAGTTCTCCTGAATTGCATCTTGCAAGATACAAAGAGTAGAAAATGATAAGAAACCACTCCTTAACCTGTAGGAACCACACACACACACACGTATAAAGCAGATGGACAGGAATGAGAAGGTGTATTAGAAAGACCATTTGTAGAAGCACCTGGGTGGCTCAGTCAGTTAGACCTTCAACTTCAGCTCAGGTCATAATCTCTGAGTTCATAAGTTTGAGCCCGGCATCGGGCTCTGTGTTGACAGCTTGGAGCCTGGAGCCTGGAGCCTGCTTCGGATTCTGTGTCTCGTTCTTTCTCTGCCCCTCCCCACCTTGTGCTCTGTCTTTCTCTCTCTCTCTCCTAAATAAATAAAAACATTAAATGAAGACCATTTGTATGCAATCTGAATGTAAGTTTTTATCACTGAAAATAAAAATAATGTTGAGACAGAAAGAGAAATAAAAAGTCAAAATCAGCCCAGCACCCAGGTTGTTATTTTGGGAGAATGACGCTCAAATTTCTGGCACAGGCACGCCTAAGCCTACTTGTTTTTGGAAAATAACGAATCTTAGATTTTAATAGTTCTGAAAAAGCTCACCTTTGGATCTTTCTTGTCGGTGTGGCGCAGAGTAAGATAAATTGAAAGACAGGGTGTTAGTTCACCTGCTGCCAGGTTCTTTGTGAGTACGTTCGAGAAAGCAGGAATTACCGGAGAACTCACCCCAGAAGTGTGCAGTCACATACAGTTTTCTATTGCATGAGACTACACTGACGTAGATTTGCTTATGTGGAAAAACAGCCTTTTTGTTCATGCGATAGTCTAAATGTAGCATCAATTTCATATACATACGTGAAAAGTTTTTATTCTCATTTAAGTGTGTCTCTATTCCTGTCTATTTTGATGAGCCTAATTCAGTAAGTGTTGGTTAGGGACTGGGGATTTGTGGTGTAGAAAGCTTTGCCACTGACACTGGTGCCCAGCCAGTGTGGAGGACAATAGTTCTGGATAACGGCTTAATCACTTTCAAATTATCAACTCCTGGTTATCGTTGTTTTCTTATGTTCAAGAAGACAAATGCAATGAGAAAAAAAAAAAAAGAAGAAGAAGAAGAAGAAGAAGAAGAAGAAGAAGAAAAAGGCTCTTCTGTAACCTCCTAAGTCATTTTTGTAGTCTTAATATCTCTCAGAGTGTCCGGCCTATAGCATTTATTTAGTAATATTTTTTAATTGAAGAAAGTGAATGAGATGATGAATAAAGTTGGCTCATTGCTGTGTATGTGGAATACAAAGCTTCAGCTAGCTTGAGGTTTAAAAATAGTGCAAGATATCATTTATAATGCTGTTTTAAGATGTGGCATGATACAAATTATAGTGGTATTTTTTAAAAGAAGCTCTTTGCTCAGTAATGGGATATGAATATAATAGAGAAAAGTACCTAGAATTAAATGGGATCATTTTATGTACACATATCCAAGAAAACCTGTGCCTTTTGAATCATAACAGGGTTCCCATTTCACTTCCTTGCTGTACTGCAAAATAAAATGCTTGGGATCTGTGTATTTTCTGTTTGTGAGAAGACAACATGAAAAATAAAAACTGTTTGTGTGAAACAAGAAGCAGGAACATGAAAATACTAAAAAGGACATTCTGTGTTTTAGATGGCCCTCTTGTGGTAAAAAGGTCACACTATCCCAGATGAAGACAGTGCTGGCAGACTCCTGCTTGGAGCAGCCCTCATGACAAACTTTAATAATAAGAGTCAAAATGGAGCAAACACATGAGAAATAATCCATTTGCACCCTTTCCCCAGGGACTCCACCCAAAATTAATAGGTATAAAGCAAATAAACAAGAATCTTTTTCCATCTGCTTTATATAGCTACCAAGGATCTCTAAGGGTAAAAAAAAAAAAAAAAAAAATTAGCTCTTGGAAACATTTGACTACAAAGCTATCAGATTTTACTTTTTATACTTGTAAATAATTTCAGATTCTCACAGCAGTTGCAAAAACGGAACCATGAGTTCCTGCCTATCCTTCTTACCCAAGTATTAACAACTTGCATGGCCATGTTCTCGCTTCCAAAACAAATTAGTACCTATATTCTGCACTTAACCAATTTACAGACTGCCGTCAAATTTCACCAGTTGTCCTACAAACCTCCTTTCTCTGACCCCGGGATCGTTCAGTCTCTGACAGTTTATCATCGTTATTTGCCTTTCATGACCTTGACACTTCGGAAGAGGACTGATCAGTTCTTTTGTAAAACATTCTTCCATTTCAGTTTGTCCAATATTTCCTCATGATTTTTGTCTTAAGATGACATTGATTGTCAAATTGGCTTCCGTACAACACCCAGTGCTCATCCCAGCAGTGCTGGGATGGGCATTGATGCCCATCATCCACCCCCCTCTCTCTCCAACCCCCCATCAACCCTCAGTTTGTTCTCAGTTTTTAAGAGTCTCTTATGGTTTGGCTCCCTCCCTCTCTAACTTTTTTTTTTCCTGCCCCTCCCCCATGGTCTTCTGTTAAGTTTCTCAGGATCCACATAAGAGTGAAAACATATATGATTAAATGCCAGTTATGCATTCTCAGCCACGATACAATGAAAGTGATGTGGTGTGTCCATTGTGTCCTACCCATCAGTAGATACACAATGCCATTATGTCTTCCTACTGGTGATCTTCATGTTGATCACTTGCTTAAAGTGGTGGCTTCATTTTGGGATGAGCACTGGGCGTTGTATGGAAACCAGTTTGACAATAAATTTCATATATTAAAAAAAAAAACTAAAAAAAAATAAAGTGGTGGCTTCACTGTAAAGTTACTCTTTTTCCCTCGGTAATTAATAAATACATCAACATAGTATAAATTAGATGCTTTACCATAATTAGTATTAAATTAGTATTAGTATTTTCTTCCTCACAGAAATTTTACTGAAATGGGGCTATAACTTGTGCACCGAAGGAGGAACTCTTCAAGTTATTTTGTGGTTTTTTTTTTTTTTTTTTTTGCAAATGGTCTTTTCCCCTTTCGCGTGTAGCTCTCTACCACCTTTAAGTTAAACTCTCTAGAAAGATCGCATTTGCCCACGTTGTTGACCAAGTCCCATGCACTTAATGACCTCCTAGGTATGTCGAGAGTACCAGCGTGGCAACTGCAACAGAGGAGAAAACGATTGCCGGTTTGCTCATCCCGCTGACAGCACAATGATTGACACCAATGACAACACAGTGACCGTGTGTATGGATTACATCAAAGGGAGATGCTCACGGGAAAAGTGCAAATACTTTCATCCTCCTGCACATCTGCAAGCCAAGATCAAGGCTGCCCAATACCAGGTCAACCAGGCTGCAGCCGCTCAGGCAGCAGCCACCGCAGCTGCCATGGTGAGTAGAGACATCAGCTCTCTCTTTGTTAGCAGTCAGTACAGCAAACTGAATGACTAGATCTGACTACAAGCTATTCATTTATTAACCTTAAATTTTTTTATTTTTATTTTTATTTTTTTGCTGAAGATATGTTTGTTCAGGTATCCCAGACAATACATAATGAAGTTACCGTTCACAGAAGTGAGGGTAACTCCTCAAATGGTTCAGATTGCTCCTACCCTTGGCCTAACTCTTAATACTCTGTCTTATTCTGGATATAGGGTTTCTAAAATTTCTGCTTTGTAAAGAACACCTGTCTCCTCTCCAATTTAACGATACTGCCATTTTCAGTCCTCTTATTTTTCTGTGTGCCATCTAATCAGCCATTGTTCTCCTTCGGTGTGTTCTTTTGCACATCAAGGCTCTTCTCTACATATATCTTGCTTTTAACAATAACATAATCTGGAACTGTTTAGGAGAGTTGCTGAAACAAAATTGTTTTTAGGATTAGCTACCAGATTTTGAACAGTGTGCTATCTAGATCATCTTAAATAATATTGTGGCATAAATATAATTGTAACGCTAGAGAAGCTTGACTATGCCATTACATAGAAAGGAGAAAGACAGCAGTACTCAAGGAAGAAATTGGATCATTTAGAACAGAAACACCTATATTCTGAAGGTAAATTTTAATGTGATCTAATAGCTGATTTTAATGAGTCCATTCTTTGTTCTTTGCTTAGCTGTTTTAATGTTGTCCTTTTTTTTTACATAAATATATAAAAGACTTAATCATGAAAATAGACATAAAAAACACTGTGGTTTTCACAGCACAGTAAAATAATCACGAGAGAGGTCTTTTCTGTGTTTGTTTATGGATACTTGAGCAAAAATACAGAAGGCAGACTCTCTCCTCCTCTCTACCTTTCACTCTTTTTTTTTTTTCTGTTAGAGTATCTTGTTTGTAATTAACTACAAAGAGGAGTTATCCTCCCAATAACAACTCAGTAGTGCCTTTATTGTGCATGCTTAGTCTTGTTATTCGTTGTATATGGCATTCCGATGATTTGTTTTTTTATTTGTTTTTTCTCACCTACCCAAAAATGCACTGCTGCCCCCATGATGCACCTCTGCTTGCTGTTTATGTTAATGCGCTTGAACCCCACTGGCCCATTGCCATCATGTGCTCGCTGCCTGCTAATTAAGACTCAGTCGGCTGTCAAATCACTGAAGCGACCCCTCGAGGCAACCTTTGACCTGGTACTATGACCTTTCACCTTTTAGCTTGGCATGTAGCTTTATTGTAGATACAAGTTTTTTTTTTTTTTATCAATTTAAAAATATATATTCCTTTTTCTGTTATAAAATTGTAAAGTACAATGAAAAACTGAGTGTGGTTTCCTGACAAAATTAGTGGAAAGACTCTACTGTGAGTACCTGGACGGATATCATACAATGAAAGATTCCGAAAGCCCAGCAGCCCACATTCAGTTTAACTACATTGTAGAATGTTCTAGTGAAATACTTTAAGGACATTAAAAATGTATTTTTGACTGTATATTTATGTACCTGTTTGGTTAGCATGGCTTTAGTGATAGAATTATTTATTTATTTTTTTTAATATTTATAGTTCAGTGTTTAAGAAAAAAAAAACTTGCATGCTCTGGGACATTTGCATGTGTAGGTAGGTCTGGTGGGGAGGAGAGGAGTGGGATGAGTTTTTATTTTACCTGTTCTGGTCACTCTGTACGATTAACTATTAACATTGCTTATACTTGTCAGTCCTCATGGAGCTCGCAGTGCAGCTTTTCTTCTTGCCCCAAATCAGTGGCTTCTCACAGAAAGCCTGAAGCATTATGGGACTTAAAACACTTTAACACATTATAACATGTGCTCTCGTCCTAGTGGGTTGTTTTTTTGTTTTGTTTTGTTTTGGACAAAAATAATGCTTCCTTTAAAGCTTTTATCTTGCTTTTTTTTTTTTTTTTTTTTTGATCCCCTTTAATTTTTGTTGATTGGAATCCCACCCCACCCCCCGGGTAGTTCAGTGCTCTGCTGCTTGCTTGCTCATGCTTCCTAACAATTTTAGCCTTCAACTGATTTTTCTTTTTTCTTTTTCTCTTTTTACTGGTATTTGTTTTTTATACTCATTCACTAAACAGGGAATTCCTCAAGCTGTACTTCCCCCATTACCAAAGAGGCCTGCTCTTGAAAAAACCAACGGTGCCACCGCAGTCTTTAACACTGGTATTTTCCAATACCAACAGGCTCTAGCCAACATGCAGTTGCAACAACATACGGCATTTCTCCCACCAGGTAAGGGGTCTCAGCTTATTCATGAACGAATCTGGGGAGCCGCAGATAGATACGCTGGTAGAGCAGATAAGCCAGGCCCCCAGTTTGCCGTTAGCCATAGATAGTTGGAAGGTAAGGTGGTCAGCAGTAGCGGATGAACTGAGGTATCTCATGTGGTTCTCCTTAAAAACTAAGAATCTTAGTGTAATGAGAAATGGATCAAAGGTCATTGTGGTATTTTATAGATTTATTTTGGTGTGTGTAATTCGGAATTGAAATATAGTTCTCTTTTTTTTCTCTTTCCTCAACACTGTTTTATGTCTGTCAAGCTATTTTATGACACTCTTCTTCTGCTGTAAGACCCCTTTGCCTTCATGATTCCAGAGTAAATTTGAATTCTATGAAATGACACTTCCAGTTTTGATTTTTATTTTTCAGCCTTTTTGTTTTTGAGGTGGAGAATAAAAAAACAAACAAACAAACAAAAACCAAAAGCTGACTCTGTGTTCCAGAGCACTTAAAAAGTGTGCCAATCAGTACATTGCTTAAAATCATTATTTTCTCATGAGCTAATAGAAGTACAAGTTTACATCTACTATTGAGTTATACATTTGTCGTTTCAGTGGATTTCAACTTAGTCACATAAACATACTGTAGAACTATCTGCACGGGTATAAAATTTAGAAACATTAATCAGTCATTTAATTACCTGAAAATTTATTATTTTTATGCACCCTTCATTGACTTCAGGAAATCCATGTTAAACTTCATATAGTCTGGAATTCAACTAACCAGACTCTAATCCTATTTTCCCCTTTACCTCTTAACCTTTCTAAGATAATTACCACGGGTTCAGAGATTTATTTAATAAAATAATTTTATCACTAATTAAATTAATTAATGATGAGGTATGTATGTCAGAGGTCCAGCGCCATTAGTATATTATGCTATATTGACAGTACTTAAATGCGTTAGGTTCGTAATGCCACGAGAGAATGTGAGAATTTATTTTTGAATAGTGAACAAAAGAATAAGTTATATTCACATTAGTTTTTACTGCCAAGCACAACTTCTATACAGTGCATCTCTGAAAGCTGGCCATCCGTATGTAGAATATGTAACAAGATTCGGTGAACTGGAGTATGTGGAATATTACATGACTTACAATGCATACGCCTTAGGCACCATGGATAAAGTAATTGTACTTACAAAATAGTATCTGTGCATTTGCAGTTTGTCCATTTTAGAATACAAATTACATCATTTTGATCTGTAGCATATTTATTGCATTCTGAGGGGCAAATCACATTTCTCTTACACTTTATAAGGTTGAAACTTTTTTCTCAACACATACAGGTTTTCAGAGATTTCCAGAATGTAATCTTTTTGCTTTTATATAAATTGCCATGCCCCTAGATTCATGCCGTCTTCAGCAAATATATCAAGTTTTCTATAGTCAGATCACTAAACAAAGTTTTAATAGATTGTGGGTAACTACCATAGTCTCTTTGAAGAAACCAAAGATTATTTTTGTCAGCTTATTTCATTCAGTAAAACAGTGTCATTAGAAGTGAATTTCATTATTTAAAATCTAAAAATAAAAACATCTAACTCTCTCCATATATTATTTAGGGAAACCTAACAGTTCAGTCTTATTAAATGGGATTTACGTTAGTTTCTCCAACAATATTCAGATGACTAAGGACGTTTCTAAATAAACATAACCATTAATTGCATGATATTTCTGACAGTAATCTCTCCCTAGAAAGGCTTTTAGTCTGTGGATAAGACAGAGCAAAAGATGCTAGGTAAGGATCAAGTGTGGGAAAAACAAACACATTTGCAATTCAAAATCATACTTCTCCCTTCTAGAAACGAAGTGTTCTTAATGTAAATAAAATGTGTCACAGTATATTGAAATGTGCTAAAAATGTTAAGAAATATTTGCGTTTTTATGATGAATTTTGCATCGGAGATAGTCTATATTCTATTCTTGATATTTCTAATCAATATGATATGAAATTATTACAATAATATAAAATTACATTTATCTGTAAGCCACTTTTAAAGGGCTTAACCTTTATGAGTCACATAATCAGAAGTAGATAATACCTTCATCATTCTTTTAAAATATTGTCATTTGTCATATGTGCCTGTGTCCAGAAATTTGGCTCTATGACATTAAAAGGTTAAAATGGATAGCCCATCTTTACTTCTGCCAAACCACTTTGTCAGACAGCCAGAAAAGAAAGAAATCTGATGCAAAGAATGTAAACTAAAATGCCTTAGGGGCCAGGAAGGATATATAAACAAATGGAGCAAGAAATAAATTAGGAGCTGTGAGGTCTGGAAGGCACTGGGGAGCACAGGCCCAACCTAAAGAGGATGGTGAGTGTTTGGACTTAGGCTTCTATTGCCTCAGAGAAATATCTGCCTGGCATGTTGTACCTGTTGTAAACTGCACATCCTTTGTGGCTCCATTTACATTATAGGGTAGTTGTGTCTCTGCTTCCCGTGGTTAGTTGTGCAGACCTGCACAATCTAATGTAATGGCCCTGATGTCCGGTATTGCAGGTCTTTTTGATTTTTTTCCCAGATATTTACCTCATTTGGATGGTTGCATATGAAATTTCTCTATTTAAAAAAAAAAAATTACAGCTAATTCAATTTTTTAAATGCCCTTTGAGAACTACAGGAAATCTATCCTACCACACATCTGTGTAATCTCATATATAATACCTGGGAAAAAGGAAGTTCATTTTCCAAAGACTGTGTTATTCTGCAGATGACTTATTTGATTAGAGCCTCCCATCTGCCCATAATATAATGATTTGGAAGGTATATTCTGAAGGCTCTTTTGGAACTCAAAAGAAAATAGAAGTTATTTATTTTTTGCAACTTAGAGTTTTAGAGCTCTGTAGTCTCTTGCTTCAGTAATAACTTAAGGGGTATGTGGGTCTGTTACATTGAAGTTGCAGTGAAGCATAGTTAAGTCATTTGAGGAGGTAACTATGTATATAGACTGGGCTGCTGGCAAAAGATCAAGGTTCAGTGGCAAGCCAGGTAACTAGCTAAAACCAATTATATATATAACTTTTAATAACAAAATTAGGTTTATGTGGCATCCACCCGTCTGTCTGTGCATCCATCCAATCATTTATCCATCTGTCCTTCCAACCACCTATCTCTTCTTCCCTCTTCCTTCCCTTCCTTCTTTTCCTTCCTCTGTCCTTCCCAGTCTTCTCTCCATCCGTCTACCTATCTACCCATTCATTGATCCCTCCATCCACCTGTCTCCCCATCCATCCATCTATCCACCCATCCACCCATGTCCATCCATTCATTGAATCAACACACATCTATTGTATGCCACATGGTATGCCAGTATTCATATTGGAGATTGCAAATTTATGACCCAAGGGTTAAATCTAGAATCCAGAAGTGTCTAAGAATGTTTAAATAAAATCAGAGTGTAAATCCTTTACAAGGTGTGCATTCTGTCCAATCCAAGCCCCACAGCTCCCTAATGGTTTCAGGCCCAGTTGTTTCACACATTGTGTTCAAAACAGCCGCCTTTATTCAATATTTGCTCTGTGCCATACTGCACTGGATACTTTATATACATTATCTCATATTTTCTCACAACGGCCCCAAAAGGTTGGCATTAATAGTCCCATTTTACTAATGAGTAATTTGGGGCCTAGTCAGGTCCAATGATTTGCTCCAAGTTGCATGGCTTGTATGTAAGGTTTAGACAGAACTTGAAATCAGGTCAGGTGGGTTTGACTCAGTCTCTCAAAATCTGTGAGCTCTTTGTATCAGGTCCTTAAAAATGATTTGGCCCAAAAAATGAACTAGGCCTTACTGATACCCTGACCCCATGATTGGTGCTTTTATACCCTCCATCTCGTTTAAAAATAAATACAATTACTGGAATAAATTCATATCCAAGCTTCTTTTTTAAATTTTAGAGATATACTACTATTTAAAAAATCTTCGCCCTTTAAAACTCAATTAATTATTCGTACCGTTTATGTCTAATCTAGGATCTACTTACATTGTAGGTATCGAGTTCACCCTTGACATTGGAGTAAGAAGTACCACTTTTATTTACATCACTTTATTTTCTTGAATTCAAATGAAGTCCAACTCCAAACTCTAATCTCACTGGGAGATTAGGCTCCCTTACTGGGGTCTAATTACCGGGATTCAGGACCCCCTTCTCACATCTTCTCTTCCCTCCCATCCCCGCCCCCCCCCCCCACCCAAGGTGAGGGCCTGTGCCATCCAGTAGGGTAGATAAGATGCCCATTCTCCATTCTTCAGTCAGCACTGGTCACTGCTGGTATGATCATGGCCCATGCTTACAAGGTCTCAGCAAGCTACACACTCCAGGGTTCCTGTGACTGCCTCGGGTCCAGGCATGCTTGCCTGAGCTCCTTAGCCTCATAAGCAGCATACGCTCCCTTGGCAGCCTGTGCCCATGGAGCTATGGTGGAAGAATAGACTACATACCCAACTACTCACGGACCCTGCAGACTCCCTGCCTCTTTCCTCTCCCTTCTCCCTCACCATTTTTGCCTGCTTTCTACCCTCAGAAGCACACCTCTCTTCCCTCTTCCTAGCATATTGCCCTCAGTGTGGGCTGATGGTTTTTTTTAAAAACCTAAAAATAAGTTTGCTTTAAGCAACTTTGGCTTTGGCTTGTGTTGCAACTTACCAGACATAAAGAAACAGAAGGCCAGGAAATTTTCCTGGAGGGGGAGGAGTAAGAAGGGAGGTGGCAAGGGGATGGGGGTGTTTTTACCGAAAAAAAAAAAAAACAAAAACAAAAATTCCCAGCTTGTCACTTTTATTATAATTAATGAAATTAATGCAGTTTACCTTCATCTTAGCATAGGATTATAAATCAGGCTTGGAAGTTTAAATCCAGATCCACCACAAGTTATAATCTCTGTATCCCTTTTATTTTTCACCTATAAAATGTAGATAATGTGATTATTTCATAAGGTTACATTTAAATGAGTTTTAAACATAGTTTCATAAAACATTCTCTTAAAGCACTATCATAGGCAGGTCTAAGCGTTTAGGATAAAGCCTGGAATCTAGTAGGCACTAGGTTTTATTTGTCATTTCTTAAATTCAGTAGTGCAATGGAATAGAATTCAAAACATCAGATAGAAATAAACTGAAGCTGTTGCTGTTTCAGATATCAGTTTTGAAAATAATTTCAATTGATTGTGAACTTTTAGTCCCAAGTGATACAAATTTTAGATCTTAAATCAGCTTAATACTGCTAATCAGCAGGCTTGAATTACCACATCCAAGTTCAGACCTCCAACCAAATATCCATTATCACTTTCTCTCTCTTCTACTTCTTGCCCTTCTCCTTGAAGTAGTTTTAACTGTGCATACAACGCATTTGCAAACTACCTTCCTACTTGTTTTTCCTGCATCTTCAAATAGGAATGCATTCCTCACAAACACTTCATTCTGCTATGCAAATATCTTCATAGGGGAAATTTGAAATTGACAAATGCATTCACTGAAACATTTCCTTGTGTTGAAAATTAAGGAAAAAAATTTCAATTGGCTATTTGTGCATCATTATTAGTAAATCAACCCATTGTTGTAAAGATGGATATTATGGTCATTTCAAAGTGATTTTTGGTCTCGGTAAGTGGGTCCTACAGCATAATGTCTTTGTTTTTGTGAATTATTGCACCTGGCTAGTATTTTCATTGCTGCCTTATGTTTATTTGCTGCAAATCCCTCTCAAAACTGTGTGCACTGGTTATAATGGTAATGAGGAAGATAATTCAAACTAAAATTCCAATCCTAGAAGCTTTAGGCTTTTAGACAGATAGGATGGTTAATTCATTTTCCGCATGTGCAGGCTAAATTATGTATGGGATGAAATATAATAGGCAAATTACAGCATAATAATGAATGGTAAATTGAAAACCTACTACCCATACAGTATTTAAACCGGCTTTCCTATTCCTTGAATACCACATTATTGCTTTTCCTTCATCTATTCATCCTCTCTTTCCCAGTCAGTCCTCTTGCCCCACCTTGAGAGGATAACGATTTCACAGGATCTAGACCCAGGATTAAATTTCGCTTGCTCTACTGTCTCACATTAACGTCTTTGTTATTAGTGGTCTGTTTTTGTTCTTCTCTTTCCCAAGTCTGACTCTGTAGTAGTTGCAAATGATAGAGATCTTCAGGCATCTTAACAAATGACTGTCAGGGTAATATTATGCCACCTGGGCGGATGCCTCCCTAGCTCCATTACCAAGTTTAATCCCTGATCATTGTGCCCACAGTCTAATTGTGATAACAGACTAATTGCAGCTGTTCCAGGGACGCCAGTTCAGTAATCCTTGTTTCTCAATGGCAGCTTTGTTTTGTAGGGCCATCTCTGACAAGACTCAATTGGCAGATATTTGTCTAACAAATGTTCATCCCAGATGCTGCTAGTGTTTAAATAGGATGTGCCAAGATTTAGATAGAAATATAAAATCATTTGATATTTTAAAACCTAGAAATCTAAAATAATCTCATAGAAAGAACAGTAGTTCTTTATGTGGGAAAGTGCCCTGTGCTCGGTAAAAAGAAAAAAACATAAAATTGTATGTTGCAATGTTTGTATGTAAAAGAGAACAGGTACTACATACATAATATTTTAGCATCATGGTTGAACATTGAAAACATCAATGCCAACACCCCATGTGTAATATATACATACATATATATATAATTAACTTTTTTTTTCTATGTGAAATATTTGGGAGCATTTGCTATTCCAAGAAGTCCTGAAGGTCTAAACCAGCATTGAAAACCAGTCTGTTTCCCCAGATCCCTGTTAATTAAACCAATTCAGGACTTAAAAGTATATCCTCTCTAAATGTTTGCCTACATTTAAATTCCAAACAAAGGCCATGCAGAAGTTTCACTTTCTCTTTATGCATAATTTATTTCTTGGTATCCTTCCAAATAAAATTCCTGTATGGATGGATGATCACAACCCCTTCCATGTCTGTGTGGTTGCTGCTACAGTGAACAGAGAAATAAAAACCAAGGGAATGAAAATGAATGTTTTGGTTTTATTACATTGTTAAGCCAGTTTTGTGCATTGGATTACCTACCATTTTAATAATAAGTAATTTCTCTAATTATTTAACATGTGCTCAATATAAGGAAAATGTTAATACATTCATATGTTAAAGTCAGAAATAGCAAAGCCGCCAGATGGCTAGTAACCAGATTAAAACAAAACAAATTACAATATTATTTTTAAAAGAATTAGGCGAGTTTAAACTTTTCCCAAAATACTTTTACTTATAGGCAGCAATCAGGAGAAACAAAGTGTACCAGCACACAGTTAAACTGGCTTTTATTCTTCACTTGAGACTAGTTCTAATTGATCACTGTGCTATTGTATGATTTGATTGTGCTGACAGTTACATGCCACTGTTCCCATAATAACAATTTTTCTTCTTTGTTCAAATGAATTTCCTAATTACACGTGTGATGGGATGTTTTAATTCTTTTCCCTTTTCAAATCCACCTTCCTGTTGCAATGCATGATGGGCAGGCTCAATATTGTGCATGACACCCGCTACAAGTGTTGGTAGGTGCCAGCTTTGTTTCTTGATTATCTTAAACCTATGGTGCACCTCACAGCCCCTCAAAATCCACTGCTAAGTTTAACTTGTATCTATTGGGCAAGTCCATTTCCCTTTTACTAACACCTGTCAATTAAATGCCATTTTCTATTTAATTGACATGGACTCACATAAATGTTTTCTTTACACACAAGTTTCCTTTAGTCACCTTTGGTGGATTTTGATTGGACTATGAGTTCTGGTGTGTAAAAAAAAAAAAAAAAAACTATATCATAAAAGTAATATATTGTATATTTTTATAATAATAAATAAGAAAAAATACTTTCATTCAAACAGATAACTGTATATATGAAGTAAATACCTGTATTTTGACTTAGATTTTGAATGTCTGACTGTGAACACTATATAAAATTCTTGTTTTTGACGTAGCAAATTAAGCCTGTTTGTGTCAATTTTCTTGATTTGATGGTAACAAGCTTTTTTTCCCCTTTTTTTTCTCTTTCATCTCCCTTCCCCCTTCTCTCCTTGGAATGTTGTCCTGCTTTGCGCTGTGATTGCATGTCACTCGCTGGTGATGATGTCCCGTCACATGGCTTATTGCTGTGATAAATACCATGCCCAATTATCTCCTCCATGTTGCCATGGTTTCCATATTGCTACACTCTTCTGTATGTTTGCTTATATGATTTTCCCTCCGAAAGTTCCCATGGTGCACGGTGCTACGCCAGCCACTGTGTCCGCAGCAACAACATCTGCCACAAGTGTTCCCTTCGCTGCAACAGCCACAGCCAACCAGGTTTGCTAATTTACAGCTTTGTTTCTTAAAAACCAACTCTAATAGGGCTCAATCCAACAGCCCTTACGCACGTGGCTTTCCCATTGAGGTCAGTGGGAATCGTGTGTACGTGAGGGCTGTAGAGGGTGCTTTAATAGCATGGGGTTTCAAAGATACCTCTTGTTGGCCTACACATTCTCTCTATGATGAGCAGCAGAATGCTTTTATGCCATTTATAAGTGCTCCAAAGTTGTCGCGGCTCCATTTCTAAAGCTACTAAAATGATATTTACACAAGCAATTCTCATTTGGTCTCAATCATTCAGGTGTTTTGACCAATCAAAACTGCAGGCGATTTTAAGGTTTTTATGATAAACATTTGGTATGTACAATTTCTTAGTTCTTTCCTAAATTCTTAATAAAAAGCGAGATGTTTAAATATGTTATAGATGCCACAAATGACCACTCTTGTAAATAGAGTTTTTATAAATTCATTATAGTTTTGTTTGATAAGCAGATTGTATATTAAAAATAAGTTGGTGTCCAAGGTTTGAGTCTCACTGCTTTAAGTGAAAAGCAAACACAGAAACAAAAACCCTAAGTGCTCATATTTCTGTAGTTACCCAGCATAGATTTTAGAGAGTTATGAAGGGAAAAAAGACATCAAATACGGTAAATTGAGTCATTCTGGGTTCCATAGAAATTTATGGAGTAACAATTTCACAGATTACTCTTAAGTAAATGGGATCTGTTTCAGAAATTTGAATTTTATGATATGCAAGAATGACTATTTAAAAGAAAATGATTATTAAAATATTTAAAATTTAAAAATCGACATTGATTCAACCAACATTCTCTGATCCTATTTTAAATTATATTCTGGAAAATAATGGTTGAATCAAAGTCAAATTTATGTAAAGTGGGTTTTGGCCTTAATGGATAAGTGTCTTTGTTATGAAAGCAAAGTTCAGGAAGGTTAATAGCATGTGAAAACATTTGGAGCCAAATCAAAGTTCAGATAACCCACAGACTAAGGTTAAATGTAGCCAAATGACGTGAAAGAATCACTATGAGATGAGAATCAGCGTATTGCCCCTTGGGAAGAGAAGGCCAGTTAAGCGCCATCTGACTTTGTAGATATTGCTGTGAGAAGTAACCACCCTTGTCTCCACAGTACATCATGTACTGTTGAAGAACTGCAAGCTATTAGTGTAGCCATTAAAAACTTTCATAAGCAGCATGCCAAAATGGATGTATTTTAAAGTTTCAGACAAGCTTTAAACATTTCTTGGCAAAGAACCATTAGTTTTTCTGAAGCTTGTCAAAATAGCCCCAGATTTATGCTAACACATCAGACTCATTTACAAGAATACTAGATTGTGCATATGTGGCATGTTAGTAAGTAATCTATGGCAGAAATTTCTTAATGGATTCACCGTAATCCATTTATGAGGCAAATCAGTGATGCTGAGCTCTCTGTGTACCATGTATGACGACAGAATTGCTGGTGTAAGCAGAACTATAGCAAAGCAAATTCCAACATGCCCTGGGCCACCTGGGTTGTAGGGGACACTTTACTTTTTGCATTGTGCTGTGACCATTTCATGCATAATCTTGGGTCTTCATACTGTTTTACAACCAAAAGAAAGAAAAGGGAAATGGATATATATATACACACATATATTATATCTACATATACATACATATGTATATGCCTACAGTATATTAGCAATGCTGGAAATAGCTGATGCCACAAAATGCAGCCTGCATGCATGCAGAAGTTTATAGCTGGCCCTTCATCTGCATCGATTGGTGTTGAAGGTCCTTGGTATGTTTCGACAGCCCCATCCTTGATGCTTCTACACTGTTGGGTGCAACATCCTGTCCTGCAGCAGCAGGAAAAATGGTATGAGAAGCTTCATTATGCTTGGAGCACATTTTCGTGCCATTTGCCAATGCTGTAAAATTGTGTAAAGATGTCAGCTGAGAAATGGAAATAAAATAGAGACATATTCATTTACACTCCAGACTGTGGATTGTAATATGTTGCATTAGTCTAGGACATCTAAATTGAAAGAACAACAAAATGCCTTCATGTATGTGATTTCACTCTTCTCCCATCAACCTTGCTGAGGTGGGACTAGTGCCATTTTATAGATGAAGAAACTTAGCCATGGAGTAATTAAGTGCTTGGCTCAAATTTACACCACCAGGAAATGGATGCACTAGCGTGAGAACCTGTGCTTGCAGTCCTTGGACTGGCTCAGTCTACCGCACTGCCTCTCCCAGGTTAGCAGCAAAAATTCTGGCATGGAGGAGAGTCAGGCTACAAATTGGAAGTTCATAGCTTTGGGGACCATTGAAATAAGTCACCTCTATATTGATTTCTTATTGTATTGTCTCTCAAGTTTTTTAAAGCTCTTGCCCATTTATAATACAGTCAAATGTGCAATCAGGATTCAGGACTCTGTTCCGAAATAAACTTAAGCTCTTATCTGGTTCTTTTGAAATACTCTCTTAAAATTCTTAACTGGTACGTTTAATTTGGGGGGGAAAAAAAGTTAGAAACCATAAGTTGAACGAAAATGTTAGAAATTGGTTGCACAAAAATAGGCATTTTCTACTTTGATTTATGGGTTAGTAAATAACTGAAACCACAGGTGTGTGTGTGTGTAGGCCAACAAAAAGGGCTTCTTTCAATTACTGCTGTGCATGAATTTTGGATAGTTTTACTTCTCTTACTTCCTAAAAACTGATAACATTTATAGAATAGTATTTAACACAAAGATTTTTAAAAATGAGTTGCTCCTTTGACATTAAGTTTACATTAACTTACTGTTATGTTGGCCAGATAAGGACTGTCACCTCACAGCTGAATTTCACTTTTCTTAAAAAAAAAAAAAATTAATATTAAAATGTTTTCATCTCTTGGTTGTTGGCTTGCTTGCATGGATCATTCATTAAATAATTTTTTATTTGCTAGATACCCATAATATCTGCCGAACATCTGACTAGCCACAAGTATGTTACCCAGATGTAGAATTTTCATCACTAAACAGTAAGTTCCTTCTGTAATATATAGTGTGTACTTGTAGTGTTTTTTTGAGCTACCATTTGTATGATGTACTTCAGGAAGTTTTGCAGAATTTCAGAGAAAATATTTATATGTTTTCTTTTATTTTTATTATTTTTAAATTGAACGTCATCAAATATTTATTGAACAGCTGCCTTGTGACTGGCACAGTTCTAGAAGTAGAATGTACAAGCAAATTAAAGCTTAGACGAATGAGTACATTTATAACCGAGAGTATGCTTCAGTGCTGAAGGTTTTGAGAGGAGGTAAGAAAGGTCTCCCGTTTTTATCTTAGGTGGGTTGTAAGGAATATTATTATAAAAATTTATAATATATGTTAATGTCACTTACGTGTATGTAATTCTTAAGGAAAATAAGTTTTGTTTTTGTTTCATATTAGAAATAAACACAAACGTGAAGAAAAAATATGACTTAAAACTAGTATAGATCAGGGGTTGGCAGACTTTCCTGAAAAGACCAGACAGTAAATATTTGTGGTTGCATGGGCTATATACGGCTTCTATTGTCACTCATTTCTGTTGTAGCTACTCAGCTCTGTCACTCTAGCATGAGAGCACCTGGAGACAATATGTAAATGAAATGGTGTGACTGTGTCTCAGTAAAACTCTATTTACACAATTAGGTGGCAGGTCTGATTGGCTCACGTCTAGTAGTTTGCTGAGCTCCAGTGTAGGTCATCATTTGTTTTATTTTCTAATGTTTTGCTAAATCCTGTATGTGAGAACATGTACCCACTTCACCTCACACCACACACAGGGTTATTCAGATATAAAGAGTCAGGCTTTAAATCAATGTATACACACACTCACATACATACATATGCATACATCCACATATCCAACTTTAGGTACTTCAAAGTAGTCAACCTTAGAAGATTGTATAATTCTGAAAATGTCATTGTTGAAAAATAATTTGAAAGTCTTGTGATTTTTCTTCAAGCACCTTGACTTAGACACTTGGGAAAGGTGGCCATTTTTCATCCTCAGAGGCTATGCTTTATTCAGTATGTACACATTCAAGCTATCATATATGCTCAGGATATTTGTTTCATGTTTATAGTTTTATATTTAATTTTTTTTTTCAACGTTTATTTACTTTTGGGACAGAGAGAGACAGAGCATGAACGGGGGAGGGGCAGAGAGAGAGGGAGACACAGAATCGGAAACTGGCTCCAGGCTCCGAGCCATCAGCCCAGAGCCTGACGCGGGGCTCGAACTCACAGACCGCGAGATCGTGACCTGGCTGAAGTCGGACGCTTATCCGACTGCGCCACCCAGGCGCCCCTATAGTTTTATATTTAAAAGGAGCCTCTGTATTTGAAACTGAATCTCGTAAATAAGATGGGTGATCCTTCTTGCTGCTTCCTTTCAATAACACATTTGCAAATGATTTTTTGGTGCTATGTGTTACTGTGTGTTACCGTGCCAATGAGATAAAGATGAACAGACAAGAGATAAAGATGTTAATTTCAGCGCACTCTAATAAAATGAGAGGTTTGAACACATTTCTCTTGGAGCAAAGATGAAGGAACAACTTTCTCCAACAGAGTCAGAAAATAGTGACTTGGGGCAGTGAGGGCTGCGCTCAAGAGAAGGGAGGAGTAAGGGCCTTTCAGAAGGGACTGTGAGTGTGTCAAGTGAGGAGACGGTGGCAGAGAACCAGTTCTGAGACCCTTGCGATAATAATCTATAGCAAGAGCTGGACAAAGGCTGAGCCCATGCAGGACAAGAGGATAGACAAAATTTGAGAGCAGTCCAGGAAGTAGTACCAAAGACATGCTACAACCACGGATTAAATTCTTGAAAGTGATCTTTGTCTATTTCATAAGCTTTCTCAATAATCTGGTAATAAATTCTCCTGAACAGGAGTCACATTTTTCAATAAGCACATTCTTTTTAATATGTAGGTTTGGATGAAAAGTTCTCCTTTTGACAGATTCTAAAACCCTACTTCAAGCTTTTGTAGTCAATTGGGTATGTTTGGTGTGTATATAACTATGTTCTATTTCTGAGCGATAATCTAGGTTGAAAACAAATGATACCAAACGGCTGTAAGTTCATCAATTAGCAAACCAGTGGACTTACGTGTATTGCATCTTACGCTCTTAATGTTCTGTTTAACAACTGATTGCCCATTTTCATGCGTAGTTGCAATAATTAAACTGCTTTTTGAGTGGAGCAAAATGGTGACTTCTTTCATGCTTGAGGTTGTACTGTAAAGCATATGTTTAATATGTAAAGATTCTCTGATGAGAACAAAGTTCATGTAAAAACTGAAACTGTTAATTCACAAGTACATTGTAATATCTGTTCCACCTTAATTTGTCAGGAGCATAAGGGATTTTTCTTTCCCTTGGCTTTAGGGGGAAAAAAAACTTTAAATTAACCAAAACAGTTATTTACAGTATAAATTTTTTCCAAACATATGCTATGCTAATCAAGCGCCCATATATGGTGAGTCATGTTTAATAGGACTTACTGTTGCATGGATTTTAATTTTGTGGGGCCAAACCAGTATTCTTGCAACCCATTAAACTACAGGAGAGAGGAATTAAAGTGAGCTTAAATGCTGCCCCACAATGATAGTGCTAAAAAAGAGCTCTACTATATTATGCCCCTTGATCCTGCAAACATATTTTATACTTTTAGCTGAGTATGGGGTAATATTTGAGCAGAGCCCATAATTTTATTAGGCTGTGCATGTCATTTTATTCTCATAGAGTTGTAAATTTAGGTCCACTTGTACTTGGGGAGTGGTTTTTGTTTCTATATGAAGATGTAGCAACATACGTGTATTTTACTCTTTAAACCAAGCAATACGGTTTTCAGATGAAGTAGTTACTGGAAATTGCCTTGTTTTAACCAACATCTTCTCTTTTTAGACTTTCTCTCTGTTTTAACCAAGATTGTCTCTTTTTCCCTTGTAGATCATACTAAAGAGGAAAGGACAGTGTGCTTGGTTAGCGTAAAGGACGAGGTCATTAGCCATATTGTAAATACCGTCAAGCAACACACACAAAAACCCCTCAGCCACAAGACATCCACATATTGCATGTTAACCAGAAGAAGAGACAACATGGAAATCCACTGCACACTGTTGCCTATACACTTTGTACATTTAATTGATATTTGTGCTGAGGTGATATTCCTGTCTGAAAGAAGAACAACATTGTCTTTCTTTTCTAGCACAGAGTTCTGCATTAAAAGATGCATACCTAATTAGTTTCCTATATATTCATGCCATCTTGAAAAGACAGACTATGGTGTAACCATGATTCTATTATGTATTGGTACGTCTGTAGACCAAGGTATAATTTTTTAAAAATAAGTTTATTTCTTTCAAGGTTTACAAATAACAAAGGTGCACCTTGTATTTAAAATCGCCATTATAGACGAGAGCGTGCATGCACAGTCATTTTTGTTTAAGAGTAATATTTTTAATGTAATAGATTTTAAGATGTGGTGAGGGAGGGATCTGACAGAGATGAATGTGCCAAGCAAAACCACAACTGTGTATCTTTTAAAGCACATCATGGCTTTAAGTACCATGTTGTTAAGGATTCTCATGAAGTGCCATAGACTGTACATCAAATTAGAGTATTATTTCTTCAGTGTTATTGTTTTCAGAGCCACATTTTGTTGCTTATTTGCTAGTACTAATCAGTCAAAGGGCACCATTCTTTTTTCCTTTTTTTTTTTTTTTTTTTTTGGAAACCAAAGCTGTCTCAGAAATGGCCAATTTAACTCTACAGTAACAATAGACAGCACAACACAAACTCTCTCAATACCGATAAACTCACACATACTGGAGATATATATAATAGATATATATATAAAATTATTTTAATGCATTGTAGTGTCATATTTATGCATACTATACTGTGTAACATGTTATTCAAAAGGGATATGCCATTTCTGAGACACGATAACAAAAAAAAATGTTTGAGGAAATTATTTTGCTTCTATTTATAGCTCTGTCAAAAGTCAAACGACTATAAATGCTTTGCAAAAATGGTTTCACATTTGCTTAAATGCTTCACCACAGTCACGTTTAAAATAGTGACTCTAAACAAAGAAGAAAGCAGCACTGTCATCAGATGCATGATAAACCAAAATATGAAAATGGGAAATGTTTAATTAACCTAGTAATTGGGTGGGTTAAGTACATGGGTGAATTTTATATGTGATTTGTTTTGTTTTGTTTTGTTCAGATTAACTGCTTATAGCCTTAGAAAGCCTTTTACAAAATTAAAAAAAAATAGATGTGCATTCAGTTTTTAAGAATGGATTCATCCAAAGGAATTCCTTTTTTGTGGTTTGGATGTTGCAGCTAGTAAAGGATATTTTTGCTCTGATTGGCAGTTCTAAAAATTGCTGACGTCGGGGCCAGGTCACTGGTAGTTATAGTGTGGAATGGGAGAAGCGAAAGTTCAGTTATAGAACTTTCCATACTTCCAAGTTTACTGCAAGTTTTTATGCTTGAGAGAGATGCTTTCTAATATAAGACTGATGTGTTGATTTTACTGATTGTACTGTACATCTATTAAAGCCTTAGATTATTACATTACGGGTTGGAACCCATACCAATGTAATTTCAATCATGTTAAGAGAGTAATGGTGACTTCACATGTTATTGTAGTTAGTTACATTATAGAATATTACTTATTTTTCTTGTTAAAATGTAGTTTTTCATTTCCTACATTTATTAGATTTCATTTTCTATTAACAATTGAATACCATTTCAGTTTATAGACTCTTGTTTTATTAGATTTTACCGATGAATTTTTCAAAATACAAAAAAAAATTAAAGTAGTTTTTCCTTCATAACATACTCAGTTTTGAATTACATGTAGTGTCATACGAATATTCGTATTATTGTTAACTAAATGATTTATATTTTACTGATTTAATATTAAAGTGTAAGAATGTCAGTCATTGTTAGTTCTTGTCTAGTTTTCATTAAAAGAACAAAGATCTTTTATATGGATATCTTATAAATATATAATCATTGCTAAGTAAGAAGTTAAGTTGTTGCTATCGCAACAATCCTGGCAGACAATTGAGTAATATTTTGATGATTTATTTTGTTTGTAATTAGTTATTATAAGAAGATCTAGATCCTAGATATTAGAATAAAATTTATTTTCTACTGTATCCATTTCAAATGTTAAAGTATTGTTTAATATTTTTGAAATCCCTGAATATCAGGCCTTGTTATAAATAAGCTGCATAATCAATAAATAGAACAAGGGACTTTTTTGTTGATAATCCAAATACTCAAAGTTTACGTAATGAGAATTATAGCGTGTGTGCAAACTCTTGAGGGTTGATTATGCTGCAATTTAGCATGTTGGAACGTCTAGAGAGAAGGTTGACTTTTTGCACTTCTGTATATAGTCAAAAGAGAGAAACCTGTATAATAGTAAGATCTTATTTTGAATAAAAACGTCTATAATTACAAGGAGTTTTGTTAAGGCTAATAAAATGACAGACTGAGCAAAATTGCTTGCAAAAGTGGCACAGAGTTAGCACTCCATACCCCTTCAAACATGTTGCTTTGCTTTATTGTGGACAGCTTGTAGTTTGCCAGGATTTTTTCAGCTGGAAAGATATGCCATCCTTCCGAGATCTCATGACTGACAAAAACTCCATTGGGCCAAATCTGCCTGAAGATCATTACCAAAAATAGCAGGTACTTCAACCATTAAGGTGAAATCATGGATCAAATATTCCTTACATTTTTCAAAACTACTGCATGTTTAAAACTTCAACGAAAAAAAAAAAAAGAGAGAAAGAACTATACTAAGGACATATATTATACAAATCAGTTTCTGCCAATTTCAGTGGTTTATTGTTCACAAAAAAAAAAATCTTCAAAACAAGTATTGACTCTCACAAAATTTAAACCGTAAACAGGCAAACCAAACAGCACACCGTAGCTATAGTTGTTATGTGATTGTTTTTTAATTGCCGTAGGATCCTGTTCTTTCAGCAGGTGAAAAAAACAAAACGCAGTTCAAATTTCACGGTTTTAATTTTCAACTCAGAAGCACTCAAAAAAGCAAATGTGATCATGGGCACTTGTTTAATGAATTCGTGTATCCAGCCTTCACTCCCGCTGGCTGCACTTCTCAGCAACCCTACCGCTTTCATCTGCTGAAAGGACAGATGTGCTTGGTTTTACTATTATGTAATCACAACTTACTTTCTGCTTGTAGTTGCTTAAAATTATGTATTTTGTCTTGGGCTGCAATTTGTTTTATGCTTATTTTATTATTACTGCAGTAGTTGACTTTGCTGTATGGAAAAATAAAGTGAAATTGCCCTAATAAAACTTCTCTTTCATAAGTATATTTGTGTATCTGAGACTGAAGAGTAAATTATTTGTGCGCGTTTCGAGTATTCATGCCTGTCTGTCTTAAGGAACGTACCGATATGAAAATTCATTATCTGGTTTTAACTGATTGCAAGGAAGGCACTCACTCTTCTTCTCACTAACTGTCCTTTGATACCAAGCTTGAGAATCTCAATTGTGATGCATCGCCCTGTATTTTCTGAAACGTCTTGCCCTCTCTTACCTTGACACTTCGAGTGCTTGCTGTTGGATACTATTTTGAGCATAGAGGAGCAAAACCATAAGGGAGGAAAAAAATCTCTTATCAGTTCTAGAGCGCTGTCTATTAAAGAAATTCTCTTTGGCTTCTTCGGGAGGCTAGGGCTGGAAATCAGGCATTCTAAGTGAATATTTCAGTAATGAAATAATGATGGCATTTGATTCAGCGGGATAAAAGAGGTTACACATAGGCAGCTGAGCCAGGCCATGCCATAACTCTCGTGTGTGTGTGTGTGTGTGTGTGTGTGTGTGTGTGAATTTTGTAAATGAGAAGTTAAAAATTTGGCTACAGTGAGGTCTGGCATCCCATACAGCTTCCCATTTTGCAGTTTCCACAAATAGCCAGTGAAAGCCAAAGTTCCAAAGTGAAGAAATTAACTCCTTTGTTCCTTTAGTGCTGCTTTATGTGACGGTGCCACACTCCATACTGGGTCAAAGCCTGCAAATTTTTCTTTGTGCATCGGTGCTTTTTTCTCTAGAACTTACTACAACGAAAGTAAGTGCATTATTTATAATTAATACAGTTCTGCCACTGGTTGAGTTCTATAGAACATTCCTGTTATTCTCAGTGGATCCAACTATTCGAGGTGCCACTTAATCAAAATTAGAGTAGCTGTCCCGGAGATGATTATATAAAGCAGGAGTTTATAATATTTGTGAGTAACGTGAAAACATCCAACTCTCTGCAATTAGTGATGGTATTTTGGATATCTTTTAATTGAAAAAGAATTTCAGTAATGAACAGCCATTGTAAGTTTTCAGTACTTTAAGTGATGCTGTGTTTCATTAATCACAACAGTATTCAGCCCTTTAAGTGATGCTGTATTTTGTTAATCACAACAGAAAAATAGTGTTTGAGATATTTGCTATTTTCCAGACAACACTTATTATTCAGAAGGATCTTTGACGACAAGGACCACTAGGGGTCCTCAGCTCACAGGATGGGACCCTGTCTTAGAAGTCATTAGTTACTTCTTTCTTTTTTGGGGAACAAAATCATTTGCTAGAGCCATTCTTTCATTACAGAGCCTTGACACTCACAGAGTTTACACTTGGGGATTACTCTGGAGGTAAGTGACGCGTAGCAATCTATAATGTCACTCAGACCAGTAGTTTCCTTCATGTAAGAAATAGTCACTTAACATTGTAAGCAAACCTGTAGGACACTCGGCAACAAAATTTTGTTATTTTTTAACTTATTTTCACTCCACTCCCTAATGATTTTGAGGCAGTCAATTTAATACTTGTATGGAAACTAATTTGGCAATAAATTTCATAAAAAAAATACTTGAGGTCCTCTGTGTTCTGGAGAAAATAGTGTGTTGTGATATTAAAGAATTTGGAAACTTTTGAAAGCCTAGAAGATACCTGCCTGAACTGTATTAACATCATGGAGGTCCACAAATGTGCAACAGAGAGATTTAAATGTCAAGTGATTTGTTTTTGACATTTGTCTCTTGATCTATAAAAACAACATCGGGCCTCATTGAAATGACTTTAAAGAAACCCTCGGCCATTGCCAGCATTGGGCCCAGCCATCCCTAGAAGGGGCCTTGGCCCCACCAGCACTTGGAACGGGTAGTAAATCTGAAGCTTCCTTCAGACTGTGGCTGTGGGAGGCCACGCTGGGCCACAGCTACCCTTCCAAACCTCTTGGGAGTTAGACTCTAGGTTTTCCCAGGACCTTCAGAAAAGCAGGATCCAGATGTGTGCTGTGCTTGACCTGGGCTTGGGGCTCTGGAACTCTCCTTCTTCCAAGGCCTACTGGCACGCTTCCTCAGAGGTGTCAACCCTTGCGCTGGATGCCTGTCATCTTCAGCTACCCCATCCTCCCCCCATCCCTGCCAAGGGTTCCAGGCAAACAAAGGCAGAGCCTACCCATTTGTGTATTTTAAGGAATCTGACCCCCAATTTTCTTTTTGCTGCATGAGCTTTTTGTGTGCTCATGTAGTTTCGTTTTTGTTTTTGTTTTTTGGGTTTTTTTTTTTTTTTTTTTGCTGATGAAATGTTGGGAAATAGAGCAAAATATAGCCTCCCCTGGAATTCACCTCTTTAGGAACAAATAACAGTGGCAGTTAGAACACAGATAAAACCTATTACTATTAGTGACCTGATAACGGTCTTTCAGAAAACGACTTACCGAACGACCAGTTCCTTTCTCTCTGATTGGGTTTCATAAGGACAAAGTGTAGAATTTATTTTTTAACAGGGAATAATCCAGGAAGTTTATTCGTGGTGGTTGGGAGCCACCAGGTCGTTGTGTAAATTCTAACCACTACTCTCCGTCCCATTTGCCTCTAGGTGGAATCCCTGACCTTGGAACTTAGAAGAGCTCCATGAAGGGGGTCAAACAGCTTCAGGTGGGCTTCTGTGACTCCACTGAGATGGGTGCATTTTCCCTAGAGGAAGATTTTAGCTGTTGCAACCATTGCCTGGGCCACAGTCATGAATAGATCTCCTAGGACATAGAAAAGCAGCCATGGAAGAAAATGTAGGAGGAGGGTTCCACATCAGTGTGAGTCCTCAGGCCCAAGTGCCTGGTTTATTAAATCTGTTCTGGCCCTAGATACACAACTATGGGAGTATTAAATACTGAATTATACCACCCGTGTTGTAACTGAAAGGCACTTGCTTGGACCAGGATAGCTACCACCAAGATTGCCCGGGTAGACAGGATCTATTCACAGGAGAACCCCAAGTTCGTGTTAGAAACCAGCGGTCATGGTGACTCTGAAGGTCTGGAAATCAGTGAGCAGTCTGCAGACGAGCATACTTGAACTTAAATTTAGAGCCACGAAGTGCCAGAGAACCAAAAATTTAGCCAAGCGGATCTCCAAAGTCCATTTAGAATGGCACACAGTGCACTGGTCTGGAAGACGTAAGCCTCTTGCCTAAAGTCATATAGTGAGAGTAGCAAAGTTAAGCAGAAAACTTCGACCCCATCCCCACCCCCGAAGTCCCATAATATAACATGACTTTAGGTTTAGGATGAAAGAGGAACTTCAAGGCTGCAGCAGAGGCTGAACAAAAGAAGCCTTAGGAATTAGCATCTAACAAATTAACAGTCAAAACCTGGGCCCTGAATAGGGTCTTAGTAACAAGAAGAACTTTAGTGTATGCCCTGCTTTGTTTTACTCCTGGGCCCCTTTCTTTTCACACATGCAACCAGATCCCACCTGCGGACTTCAGTGGGCTCTGAAGTGTCACATCTGAGGGTGGGAGGAGTTTAAGGAATTGGGGCACATTCTTGTGCATGGTAAAGATAGGTCCTAGCCAGGGAGAAGAGCATCACAGATGCTAGGAGGAAACATAGCACATAGGAATAGGTTATAATCCCCTAAAATGACTATTTTTTGGACATGCATTGAAAATTTCCTTAAATTCATAAAAGTCAAAGCTATGTATTGGAAATGGCAGTGAGCACTGGGGTGGCTCTGCCGTGGTCAAGGGCTCTGGTACAAGACCACAGGGCTCCATCTCTCAACTTTCTAACCCTTCGAGTTCCTTTACCTCTCTGTGACTCCTTAATAAGAGAGAAATCATAATAAGACAGGAATCACCTTAATAAGACAGAAGTCATAAAAAGAATATTTACCTTGCAGGGTCATGGAGTTGTTCCCAGACTTTTCTGCAGTTTGGAATTACCTGGGGGATCTTTAAAAGGTGTTCAGACTTGGTTCCTACCTCTAGACCTTCTGATTTAATTGCTGTGAAGGCAATTATTGGGTTAATATACAAAAAGTGCATAGAACAGCACCTGAACATATAGCAAGCACTTGATACATGTTAACTATGATCACTATTTTATTAGTATCCATTTTGCAAATTGCTACACATGATCTTTCACTTTCTGCCCTAGTTCTTAGGTCACACAGCCCTTTTTTCAAGGAACCATGCATACACTGTATGTATTTGTGTTATCTAAGTTCTGTCTTCCCTGTTTAGTGAAACTTTATCTTCCTTTAATTCACCACAGCTCCTGCTCGTTGCTGCACATACAGCAGATATTTCAAAACTAGAATCAAGTACTTTCTGACTCATTCTGAAAATTCGTATTTCATTTTCCAGCATGATATGACCATAGATTGTACCTAAGTCGTGTCAATTTGAAAGTGACAGTTTAGACATATCTATCTAAGCTTAACTATTTGAATTTTCCCTGTATGAAAATTGTGCTCAAGAGCAAATAACAGAATGGATGCATTAATTGTCATAAAAAGTGTGCCTTTAAACAATGCATTTAAAATATTTTATTTATCAAAATAATATTTCCAATTACATCTGAGTGACCCTAATGTATTTACATATCATTTTTTTATTGCAGGTTTATTTTAGATGCTTAAATTAGCACTGGCTCAGCTCTGTGAACACACACTCTAGTTAGAATCTAACTGTGCGAGGCTCTGAGATACTAGATTGAATGGCAACAAGTTCACAGTGTAATAACTAAAATATGATGTATAGGATACTGAATACACCCTGATCTATTACTTCTCTCCTCCCACAACTGTCCTGAGCTCTTTAACTGTAACACAAAGTAATTTAGAATAAAATTAAATGAAAATTACTCTTTTTGAATAATATGACTGCTCTCATTACCCAATTCTTTATATCCCTGAGAAGTAATCTGAATATTGAAAAATTATGTATCGTTGATTATGCTAATTATAGCATTTTTTTTTATAATGGCAAAACCAAAGAACAGTCTTTTTTTCAATAGTTAGAAAATGACTAAGTGAAGTATAATG